TTTGACAGACTTCTCTATAAGTAATTTTGTATAAATATTCTCAATTTTATTTTATCTCTTGGTGGGGATGATCTAATTTTGTCTTTTATTTTTTTCGTGTTTTATTTGTTTTACGGGAGTTATAAAATATTTAGAGGGTAAAAATTTTTTAAATACAAATATGGAAATAAATTTATCAAAATTTTGAGAAATAGAAATTTGAGTAGTAAAATAGAAAACACTTTTTACACCTAATGTAATTTTAGTATCAATAAGAAAAAAAATGATTTGAAAATAGGTTATAAAATTTAATTTTAAATCAAGTAACAAAAGCATCAAAATTAATAAATAAATGTTATGTTTCTCAATTAGTGGGTTTACAACAACGTTTTCACTTTTAATTTAGGGACAATTACAAAAATGTCACTTTTTGTGTGTACATTTGCAAGAATGCGAGTTAGGGGTGTTCATTTACAAAAATGCCACTAATTATAGATTTATAAAACATATATCTAAAAGTTTTAAACCCTAAAAAATGTTTTGACACCTAAAACCCTCTAAAAACTCAAAACTAAACCCTAATAGAACATAATTAACCCAAACATAAATAATATAAAAAAAAATAATTTTGAAAAAGTGGCATTTTTGTAAAGATTTCAAAAGTATGACATTTTTGTAAAATAGCACTTGAAAAATGACATTTTTTGAAAATCCTCTTTAATTTATTTACTTTAACATGTAATTTAATTTTGTTTTGTACAATTAAATATTTTATTTTTTTACAAGTTTATAAGATATCAAATTACAAAACCCACATATCGTCCAGTCGTATATAAAACCTGATTGTATTAGCCGAACAAGGCACAAATTATCTCTGCCGGTTAATAAAATTACACGGTAGCTCTCTAAAAAAACAACTAAAAAGGGAAACAAATTTCTTCGTGTTTGTATGCGTCTATGTGAGGAGGATGTTTAGTCGATCCATGAAGCATCCACCATCTTCGCCATGAACGCATACCGATCAGCAGCTTCATCAATCTGTTACAACTCAAACATTACTCGCCATTTTCATATATTTTAGTGAATATAAATGCTTGAAAAAAGAGCTCAAAGCTTAGTTTTATGTTCTTTTTGTTACCATTTTTTGTGTTGGACGTCCTGCTCCATGCCCGGCTTTAACTTCAATTCGAGCAATTATGGGGTTCGTCTGTGGACTATTCTCTAAACTTAAACTTAATTCATGTTGCATTGTCTGCCAAAGCAAAAACGGGTTTCAGTGGAAGAAGATACCAACAAAAAAAAGCAAACAAGAGATAGAGACAAACCGCAAGCATCTTGAAAGTATGGAGTGGGACGACTCTATCGTCGTGATCGGCAGTTAACAGCATCGTTGATGGGTACTGAACAAACCGATCTGTCTTCTGTTCCCATGGCCTCTTCACATTATGCAGAGGCGAGTACCTTTGTTTTTGAAACAGACAAAAATCATCACACAATCTTAAATCTTATAAAAAAGGAAGCTTTATGGTAACCTTAAAAGGGACTTACTTCATCAGCCAATGAAACTCCTCTTCCTTGTCAGAACAACCAAATTCAGAAGCCCAAGCATGTCCTATGGTAAACTTGTGAAAGCGGAGCATGTCCATGACCCCGACATGAGCCAAAGCACATCCAAAGAGATCTGGTCTCTGCGTTAAAAGGTAAAAAAAAGTGTTTATATAACTATGTGATTGCTATTTTTCATGAGCTAACAATTGCTGGTTTTTTACCTGATTAATGCAAGCCCCAACTAGAATCCCACCGTTACTAGCACCTTCGATACAAAGTTTCTTAGGTTGTGTATAACCAGCAGAAACCAGATACTCTGCCCCGGAAATAAAATCATCAAAACAATTCTGCTTGTTGGCAAGTGCCCCTGACTTATGCCACTCCTCACCGTACTCACCACCACCACGGATGTTTGCAAAACAGAAAACAGCACCAAGATACCTACTAAGCACAATGCGAGTCGCGCTGAAAAACGGTGTCATGCTTACGCTAAATCCTCCGTACGCGTAGAGCAAACACGGGTGCGATCCATCTAGCTTGATCTCTTTTCTAGCTACTATAAACATCGGTATATTTGTTCCGTCCTTACTCGGATAGAAGACCTATAAAGGAAAAGAAAACCGTGTTAACATAGTAGTGACGATATGGCTTCCAAAATAGAGTAGTTATTATGGATTCCCAGTACCTGAGTGACTTGAAATGCTGTCCTATCGAATCCCGGTACAGCGATTTCACGGAATACCGTAACTTCTGGAGCTTCATTAGATAAGTCACATTTGTAAATCACGCCGGGAGTAAGGAAGCTTGTAAACCTAAAGAAAAAGGTGGTGTCTTTGCGCCGAGCAAAAACTCCACATACCGAGCCAATATCTACAGGTAAACTGTGAAGCAAGGAACCGGATTTCAAGTCTCTAATCTGCAGGATGTGTTTTACATCGCTCATGTAGCTCACAACAAGGTAATTTCCATTAACCGCACAAGCTGTTGAAAGGACATCCTTCTCATGTTCTGCTATAACATCTGTCCAATTGTTCGGTTCCTTCAGATCAACCCGAACTAACTTGTACTTTGGAGCATCTTTGTTGGTAAAGAAAGTAAACAATGTCTCGTCGTTTGCGATAGCAATGTATTGTGCATCAAATGTGTCGATAAGCTTAACGAACGGAAGCAGAGCATTGCTTCCTCTAAAACCTTCTAGACCATTAGGAAGTGACGAGAGATCACAATGATAAACTTTGTTTACAGGGTCACAACCTTCTTCAATTGTCATGATTAAGTACTGCATTAAAAACAAAACATAATGGTGGGATTAAAACTCAAACCCAAAACCTTCTGCATCATAAGAAAATTTGCTGGCTTTACCTTCCCATCATCAGTGACTTTAGATCCAAACATATGTTTAGGATTCTCTTGGTCTCTCCAGCATAAAACATCCTCGGATTGATCCGTTCCAAGGAAATGGTAATACAACTCATGGTAAAGGTTAGAATTAGTCTCTGTACCAGCATCTATCTTCTCTCCCTCTCT